ATTTAGCCCATTTACATTCAGGGCAACTATTGAAAGATATGAATTTAGTGCTATTGTATTACCTGTAAGGTGACTGTTAACTGTATATTGTCTGTGTTCCTTTCTGGTCTATGTTGCTTTTAGGCTCTCTCTTTGCTTAGAGGACCCCTTTCAATATTTCTTGTAGGGCTGGTTTCGTGTTTGCAAATTCCTTTAGTTTTTGTTTGTCCTGGAAGCTTTTTATCTCTCCTTCTATTTTCAATGACAGCCTAGCTGGATATAGTATTCTTGGCTGCATATTTTTCTCGTTTAGTGCTCTGAATATATCATGCCAGTCCTTTCTGGCCTGCCAGGTCTCTGTGGATAGGGCTGTTGCCAATCTAATGTTTCTACCATTGTAGGTTACAGATCTCTTGTCCCAAGCTGCTTTCAGGATTTTCTCTTTGTCTCGGAGACTCGTAAGTTTTACTATAAGATGTTGGGGTGTTGACCTATTTTTATTGATTTTGAGGTGGGTTCTCTGTGCCTCCTGGATTTTGATGCCTGTTTCCTTCCCCAAATTAGGGAAGTTCTCTGCTAATTTGCTCCAATATACCTTCTGCCCCTCTCTCTCTTTCTTCTTCTTCCACACTCAGTCTTTAATACCCATTCTTCCAACACACTGTTCCCTAGTCTAGGTGGCCCACCCTGTGGAGTTTGAATAAAGGGATAGGCAAAGTGTGTTCTTATTTTTTCTAACACGATAAGGAAGTCTGTCCTACCACCTGCAGGCTCCTTTTCTTTAATAAAAACTTTATTTGCTAATGAAGTTAGAACCACAGACCCATAGTAATTCCTATTTTGCTAGAAGTAGCAGCCGCAGCAGCAGTAGTAATGGGGATATAAGTCAGATGAAGAGATGGAAATCATCTGTTCATTAAATGGAGTAGATGAAACATATGCATATATTGCCACTCCCTGCTAAAATTCCAGTATAATGCTAGGAAAGGAAAAATAGTAATATAAACTCACAGTGACAAAGAAAAAAGAGAAGGTGACAAGATAAAAGGTATTGGCAAATTTTTAGAATGTAGCAAGCAATTGGAAGAACAGGGAAAGCTTAAATCTACGGATTTTCAGAGAAGGGTGCCATAAACAAAGAAGCCAGTTCCCATTGCAGAACTCAGAAAAGTTTCAGAATTGGAGGTACCAGGTCATCTGGAAGTTGAGGCAAGGGTAGAGTGAAATCAGGAAGGATTGATTGAAAGCCTCTCAGATAAACTGAGATGCCAGATTCTTCCTAATGCCGGCATTGCCAGAGGACTCCCCATTTCACCCTAAACAGGAAAGGGGAGGTTATTCTCTGGTCCTGCGCTTTAGCTAGGAGAGTGGGGTGCGATGCCATACAGAAATCTGGGGACTAAGTGAGAGTCAGTATATGCACTGAGAGATTTCCAGTCCCTTCACTCTTTCATCTCACAGAATGTAGCGACCAGGCTTTTATCCCACCCAATGGGGTAGGAAGTATGAAGATCTTCCCTAGAAAAAAAATCTCCCCAAGAATAAAAATCTGACAGTGACATTTAGGGCACTGCATCAAAAGTGTTAGGGGATTGTCTCAGCCCCTCCATGGTAGCTCTCCAGGGTGACCAGCCCTGCCCATGAAATGTCTAACTGGCTTTTTAGTGACTTGTTACTAAATATTACTGTACAACCAAAGACACTGCACATTCGAGAAAAGCTTTCAACATAAAAATCAAATTGAGGGCGCCTGGGTGGCTCAGTCGTTAAACGTCTGCCTTCGGCTCAGGTCATGATCCCAGGGTCCTGGGATCAAGCCCGACATTGGGCTCCCTGCTCCATGGGGAGCCTGCTTCTCCCTCTCCCACTCCCCCTGCTTGTGTTCCCTCTCTTGCTGTGTTTCTCTCTGTCAAATAAATAAATAAAACCTTTAAAAAAAAAAATCAAATTGAGACCAAAGTAAACAAACCAGAAAAACAGGGTTAATATGGAAACAGAAAATACAAGGTTCAGAGGAAATTTTATAAATATTTAATTAATATCCTCAAAAACATGAGAGTATATATCACACTAAAGAAAAAAGAAGAGGATAAAATTTAAAAGGGGAACATCAAGAAATAAGAAATTAAAAGTGTGTGAGCAAAATGTTTAAAAAATCAATAGTAGAGAAAAAAGATAAAATTGAGGAAGTTTCCCAGAATAATATAAACAAGATGGAAAAAAAGGAGCAAAAACTATAAGTAAATTAGAGAACCAACCCCAAAATTCTGACATGTAACTATTATGAATTCCAGAAAGAAAATACAAAAAAATAGAGCGACAAAAATTGTCAAAGAATAAACATGTAAAAATTTCTCAGAACTGAAATATATGAATTTTCAAATTCAACGGGCCTAATGAGGGCCTAAAGTAAATTAAGAAGGATCCAAACTGGGATGTCTAGCTAACTTAGAAGAGTATGTAACTTTTCGGGGCACCTGGGTGGCTCAGTTGTTAAGCATCTGCCTTCGGCTCAGGTCATGATCCCGGGGTCCTGGGATCGAGCCCCACATCGGGCTCCCTGCTCAGCAGGAAGCCTGCTTCTCCCTCTCCCACTCCTCCTGCTTGTGTTCCTTCTCTCACTTTGTCTCTCTCTGTCAAATAAATAAATAAAATCTTAAAAAAAAAAAAAGATTATGTAACTTTTGATCTTGGGGTTGTTAGTTCGAGCCCTGTATTGGGTGTAGAGATTACTAAAAATAAAAAATAATTTAAAAAAAAAAGGATCCAAACTAAGACAGAGATTGTAATATCTTAGAATGCTAAGAACAAATATTAAAGCATGGGGGAAAAAAACTTAAAAACTTACATAAAGAAAGAAAAAAAAAATTCTCGTTACAAAAAAATTTGGGAAAAACCAACACTGGTATTCTTACTAGCAACATAGGAAACTAAAAGAAAATGGAACATGTTTTAAAATTCTGAGAAAAAAAGTTTTGATCTAAAATTCTGTCTGTCAAGCAAAGGATAAAATACTCATGTTTTCTTGATATGCAAAGTCTCAAAACTTCTGTCCCCTATATATTGTTTCTCAGGAAGCTTCTGGAGGATGTGCTCCATGAAAATGAGAGAGAACACCAAAAAAAGAAAAACATATGGGACCCAGGGAGCAAGAACTCAAACACAGGAAAAGAGCAAAGGAAAGGGGATTCCCAGGGTGGTGGGGACTAGTGATCCCAGGAGGAAAGCAGGGCAGCTGCCTGGGGTGGGTCAGTCATGTGGGGCAAGACAACCAGCATCTGGGAGGGACATCTCCAAGGGGAAAATAGGACCTGGGGATTCTCTTACGGGTTTGTTGTTGTTGTTCTATTGTTGTCGTTGTTACCATATTAAGAGGAATTTTTTAATTTTGTTGGAAAATTTGCAAAGAATAAGTATACATGGAAAAGTACATTAAAAGAGGAGGGAATTTCTAGGGCCAGACAAAACAAAATATTGTTCAAGAAATAAATGCAAGTATGATTCAACACAGGAAATTACTACTTGGCTCAACTGTGAAGAATATACACATTGTTCATAAATGTTACATAGTGATTTAAATAAGAATTGTGATGTCATTATTTTAGGAAGAGAAGGGGGGAAGGAGGAGAAGAGTATGTTTGAACATGTGTGTGCATGCATGTGGTGTGTGTGTGAAGCGATAGCTGTTACAGTATTAATAGAATAATTTTTAACATTAATATATTTTTTAAAATATATATTTATTTTAAATATCCATTTAAGCATTTGTTTCAGAATATTGAGGTAACCAGCAGAAGAAACTGTTTACTTTCTTTATAAACCTCAAAATATTTAAAGCTCTGTGGATACACTTATGTATAAAAGATTGCAAAAATAATTTAAAAGAGTCATCTACTATTTATAGGAGACCCAGAGAATCTCTTTTAAAGACTAAAAACTCAGGGTGCCTGGGTGGCTCAGTCGTTAAGCGTCTGCCTTCCGCGCAGGTCATGATCCCAGGGTCCTGGGATTGAGCCCCGCATCGGGCTCCCTGCTCGGCGGGAAGCCTGCTTCTCCCTCTCCCACTCCCCCTGCCTGTGTTCCCTCTCTCGCTGTGTCTCTCTCTGTCAAATAAATAAATAAAGACTAAAAACTCTGTTCCTAATCCCAGATGGAGTTGGATTGCCAGGCTTAGAGATACTCCACAGGGAAATGTACACCTCCCACTCCTTTTAAGAGAATTCCCCAGGAGGCCAATTTACTTCACCTCTTTGAGACTCACTTGCCTCATCTCTCAACTGAAAAAGTTCATTTGGAACAAACCAAACTCAAATTCAAAGCAAATAACAGAAATGAAACAGACCAGGGGCAAATGCAGCAATTCTTACAGAACAGAGTCTCTACTCAGATCCAGCCAGCTATTGCCAGGAAGACCAGTTGTTGCTAAGAAGCCCGATGGTTCAAGAGAAACTACAAATCTGGGTTTTTACATGAAACCTTTGGACTTTAAAATGCTAGTTTAAAATACACAGTGCCCACCAAACCAAACCCATCTTCAGGCCACCACCCACCCACCCACAGATGAGACCTCTAAATCAGATGAACGCTGATGACTGCTTTAGGCAGTACAGTGTCTCATTCCTAAAACTGCATTGAATGTATGGGTTTCTCCACCACCAAAGAGGCAGGTTGTTTTATCCCAACCTGACATACTATACTGTTTCACTTTGTCACTTTTATATTCACTGTGAACACTCACAAATCTTAAGACCCAAATCTGCATAGCGCCTTTATTCAAGGAAACACAGGCATAAAGAAAGGTAGGTTCTGCCAAACACAACTGGGCCAGAAAATCAAGGAGTCATTCTCACAGAGACACATAGGGTAAAAACTGTCATTAATCCATCTTTCCAGACATGTTAGTCCACAAAGACAATAATCGCCTTTAAATACAAAGATCAGTATTTGCTAAGAAGGTTATCTTTTAATGTTTCACAAGGAAACTTTTACCCACCACTGCTAATTATCTTCTTGGTTCACAGGCCTAGAAAACATGAAGACTGTGCTTTTTTTCCTATACATTTTGGGAACTGCAGCTGCAATCCCGGTAAATATCCTTTTTTTAATGTGTTGTTACACCTCTCATTCCTGACATTTAATTTAGACATCCTCCATTTAAAAAGAAAATGTGTTCATATAGTGGTTTGAAATTCTCTTTTTAATCTTAATATTATTTTTTCCCAAGCAGGGAATGAATGACTAGAAAAATTGAGATAAAATACTTTCTAAAAGAATACTTCTTTTGGAACTACCAGATTCTATAAGATAGAATAAATTAAAAATTGAAAATGTTGATTATCAGTTATTAGAAAGGGGATATGCCAGGGCACAAAAGCCAAAGAGAACGGGGAGAAATAAATTTTCCTATGGAAGTTCATCACTTAGTATGAGAAACCCAAGAAATTAGTATGAGAAGTTTTGGGAGTGCATATCCATACTCTTCAGCAGCATTTTCTTCCAAGTTCGAATATATACTAGCTCATCAATTCTGAGTCTGTAATAAAACAGGAACCGATGAGTTAGGGTCAGGAAACGGTATCATAATCAGAAATCAGCTCTTAACTCATCCTTGGGCGGGGGGGGATACTGTCCAAGCAAACATGTTGAAAATAGACGAACTAGAACTTTTTTTTTCTTCACAATCAGATATACTGGCCCCACCATTCACATGGCAATAAATCATCCACACACAAATCAGAATCATTTGAGACCATGTCAGCAGCCTTAAAATAACGTGAAAGTTTTTAATGTTGTTGTTAATGGAACCACGGCTTGGATGATCATTTCCCAAATGATCCATATCATCTACAATCAAACCAAAGGATTTGTGCCATTTTTTTCTCTTTCGCCAAATGGAGCAATCAATCTCCTTTAAATAGACAAAGTAATTTCTCTCATCCCTCTCTTCCTCATTCTCCGCTACGTCTAGGATTCTGTCCTTGCTTTTTGGATAGCTGGTGGCTAACATTTGGTTGACAGATGTGTCAGCAAAGACAAACATCATGCCACCCAGACCAAGCAGTTCTTCGAAAACAGAATATATGACAACACTGCTAGGGATTATGCTTAAGTAGCTGGAGCTACTCCTGCTGAAATTACACATTGTCCTCTGAAATTACGAAAGTGGGATAAATTATGTTCAGCACAGAAAGAAGCTTCCACAGACCCATTGTTCTCTCCTAAAAAATGTGTTTTGCCCTTGCAGCTGTTGCCACTATGTAAACAGACATCAAAAGTGTCTTTCAACCAAATGTTTGAATAACACATCTACATATAGACACATTTTAGATGTTTTCTCTTTAGGACAATTTGTCATGCAGATCCAGTCAGATGCTAAAAAGCTAAGTATCTTCTCATAGGGTTTACCTATTAAAAATCTTGTATCATTTTCCCCACCTGCCTGAATTCTACAGAAGTAAGTGGATTCTGTGTGGTTAGGAGATTCCACACAAATTTCCAGAGGCTATTTTGTTATAGCTGTGGGAATAATAATAAAACAATTTGTTTTCAGAAAATTTCTAAAAGAAGAAAAGCTGCCATGCTTTTTGTGCATTTCTTCCAGCTTAGGGAGGCAGAGCAGAGGAAGAAGGGTGCAGAGAGGGGGATCAGTTCCCCACTAATAAGCCTAAAATCTCCTCCTTCCATTGCCTTCCATGATGCCCCTGTGGGCAACCTGCCAGACTGGCCACCGTTCTTTCTCCTTTCCCTCTTATAAATGGCTTATTTGGAAATGTTTTCAAATATCATTACTCCTTTTAGTTGAGAAGGTGATAAGAAGCAAGAAGCAGACAGCATCTAAAATGAATCCTGTACTCCCATGTCTTTCCTCATGTTACATAATCAGTACAACAGAATGTGCTAATAAAAACAAGTCAGTGCAAATAGAATCTGAGTTTTGTACTTACACCTAGATCTGCCTGACATCTGAGCATCCACAGCATCTCTCTAATAAAGACTTGTGGTGAATACCTGCTTAGGGTATCAGACAGTTCACAGTGTTACCACTGTATGATCTCACTGCTAGCAATAGTCATTTTACACCTGGGTAACTTTTTACAATTCACAAACTATTATATATGCATAAACTTACCTTGATATTTCTGCTCACTTCACCTTGATAGATGACAGGGTAGGGATTCACAATTTGTCAAATGACAGATAGTTAATAACAAAGTCAAGACTTGAAGGGAGATCTCTTATCTCTAAGTCCAGTTGTTAAACGTCTCCATCATATATCACTGCTCAACCTACTCAAGCTCTTCATCGATGCCTTCAGTCTTGCTAGAAATAGAGCCATCCCCCTAGTTGAAATAATACTCCATAGCTGTTCTTCTCTACTCAAATTAAGTGTACTGTTTCGCACAACTTTTGAATTAGTTCTACATTAAATTATTGTTATTATAAGATTTCTTGATGGATATAAGGCTGATTGTGTTAAGAAAATAAACAAATATTGAATAAAAAGTTTATATCTTTTCTGCTAATTATCAGTGCGTACTTAAAAGTTAAGAAAATGTAGTGTTATATCCTTTGGTTAATTTAATTTGACTTTAACTTTCTGCTAAACAACAGTTCTCAAAATTATGAAGTATGAATATTTTTTAAAAGTTTGAAAAGCACAGAAAATAGGGCGCCTGGGTGGCTCAGTTGGTTAAGTGACTGCCTTCGGCTCAGGTCATGATCCTGGAGTCCCTGGATCGAGTCCCACATCGGGCTCCCTGCTCGGCAGGGAGTCTGCTTCTCCCTCTGACCCTCCCCCCTCTCATGCTCTCTCTCTCAAATAAATAAATAAAATCTTTAAAAAAAAAAAAAGAAAAGCACAGAAAATAATTCCAAAACTCAAAGATGACTATTATTGAAATACTTATTGCTCTATTTCCACCCAGTCTCTGCATATATAACTTTTTCTTTTTCTTAAATATGTTTGAGACTCTGTTTTCATTTAACATTATAATCTGGACATTTGCTTGTATTCTTAAACATTCTGAGAGTGTCTTTTTTTTTTTTTTTTTAGATTTTTATTTATTTATTTATTTGACAGAGAGATAGAGATAGAGCACAGATAGGCAGAGCAGCAGGCAGAGGGAGAGCGAGAAGCAGGCTCTCCACTGAGCAGGGAGCCTGACGCGGGGCTCGTTCCCAGGACCTTGGGATCATGACCCGAACCGAAGGCAGCTGCTTAGCCAAATGAGCCACCTAGGCGCCCCTAGAGGGTATCTTTTAAGTGATATTATGTGTGAAGCATATTGTTACTAATAATGATGACAATAAGAGAGTAACTAGAAATTTTAAACGTTAACATCTAGACATGAATAACATGAGCCAATTTCTAATTTTTTCAGACAAATGCAAGGTTCCTGTCTGATCATTCCAAACCAACTGCTGATCCCTTGAGTTCCATCCAACAGGCTGAAATATTGGTAACACTTAACAACACTGCAATCCCCATGTTAGGGGTTGAAGATGCAGAAAATGAAAAGGAAATTGCAGTGTCTGTAGACCATCCCAACCATAAGGTAAAAGTAACATGGTTATACTATTACAATTTTTTAATTTTCCCAAGGTCTTGATTTCAAAGCATAGTGAAGGACATTACCTCATGTCAGCTTAATTTTTAAAAGATGATGATGATATCAACTGTCTCCAATCACCAGAACTGTGAGAATGAGTTTTACACCTTCAGCCAAGTTTCTATATCATGTCATTTCATAAAATTTGAATTCAAGTTAAACTTGTAGCTGTAGAATGTGAAGAACATCATATATGAGTTTACCTGATATTATGTGATGAGAAAGAATAATGAATATTAAGTGTTGGCTTATGAATTATAAATATAATGTAGATATTCCATTATCATTTGTTTCAAGACTAAACTTCCTTTCTTTTAGGCTGAAAAATCTTCAGTACTAAAGTCAAAGGAGGAAAACCATGACCAGTCAGCAGATCAGGACCAGAGTTACAGCCCAGAGCTTGGATTGCAGGATGAAGAGGAAAGTGAAAGTGACTTAAGTGAGAATTTGGAGTATATACCATCTGAAGATACACTGGACCTAAAAGAAGATATGGGTGAGCCTCAAAAGAAAAAACTCCCAGAGAACACTGATTTCCTTGCTCCTAATATTAGTTCCATCATAGATCCTAACCAACAAGAAAGCATCACAAAAACAGAAAAAGAACAGGAACAACCAATAAATGATTTACATCCTCAGCTGAACAGGAGCAACGAACATAGCCAAGATGTAAGTGATCAAGGAAACCAAGAGCAGGATCCAAATATTCCCAATGGAGAAGAGGAAGGGGAAGAAGAGCCAGATGAAGTTGGTACCCCCAACGATAACCAAGAAAGGGAGAGAGACTTTCCCAAGGAGCATTCTAACAGCAAGGAGGAAGAAGACAGTACCCAATCTGATGATGTTTTGGAAGAGTCCTATCAACCAACTCAAGTAAGCAAGATGCAGAAAGATGAATTTGAGCCGGGTAACCAAGAACAAGAGGATAGTTCCAATGCAGAAATGGAAGACAAAACTGCATCAAAAATTAATAAGCACAATCAAGATGCTGAATGGCAGAGCAAAGAAGAAAAACCAGAAGTTATCAGCAACCATGAGGAGATAGATAAGAAGTCTGTTTCTGAGGCTCTGTTTGTGGAGCCTACTGAAGCTGGTAACATCATGCCCAGAAATCATGGAGCTAATGATGATGGCGATGATGACCCCCGACACGATGCAAGTGATGACTACGAATTCATCCCAAGTGAGGACTTCATAGAGGCTGAAAGATCTCAGTCCATTTCCTATCACCTCAGATATGAAGAGGAAAGAGAAAGAGAAAGAGCACGTGAGAATGGGAATGTAGATACCAGTGAACCTGGAGAATACCAAGGGGTGAGACTCTTTACAATAATGCTTTTCTGATAGAGCAGTTAGCTTTATCAAGACATAGCCATGACCTTTCTCTGTGCTCTCAGTCTCCTATGCCTATCTCTATCAGTATATTATTAAAATATATCAAAATTATTTATTTTCCTCTGCATCTCCATCACTAGGCTGAAAGTGCCTATTTTATTTGGGTTCCCCTAGAAGTAGATCCTGGGTTTTAGTACAGTTTATCTGAGAAGTTCAGGGAACAAAGAGGTGTGGAACATGATACAGGGAAGGAAAGGAAGCTAATCAAAAGTACATCATTAAAGCCATGTAAAGCACAGTCCTCTGAATTAACCCATTTGGAGATTGAGGGAGCTGGGGCATTTATACAGACTGAGAATTGCTAGGAGAGGTGTTAATTCCCCAGCACTTTTGGTCTGTCCTTTGAGCAGGCCAAATAGATTGCCATGGTTTTTCAGGCACAGAGATGCAGATACAGGCAGTTGAAAGTAGCTAGCGCTCACTAGAATGATAAAATCTGACAGATCCGAGGGATGGGAGACACTGACAGCTACCGCTGTAATGTCTTAAGAGTAGATGCCATGTAATATTCAAGTTAAATCACCAATGTCTAGCAAAATGCCTCCAACATAGTAAGAGATCCAGGAATGCTGTTGATTTAACTATAAAGATGAAGAATAAAGACTTCAGCTACAACTTTATTAAGCAAACACACACCAAAGTGATCATCAGAAAACTGCAGCAGAGTAGGAGTAGGAAGAAGCATATTGCTATTGGTTGTTTAATCGTTTGGAGCTCTCATGCAAAACCCCAGCAGCCAAGCACGAGGACTTGCCATAGCTTTTGGTGGCCGAAGTCAATAGTAACCTTGTTTTCTGAGAACTCTGCTGCCATTTTAAGGTAAGGGTTTTATTACACTTTAGAAACCTGTGGCATCTGGGTGACTCCATTGGCTGAGCATTCAACTCTTGGTTTCAGTTCAGGTCCTGATCTCAGGATTGTGAGATCAAGCCCTGTGTAGGCCTCCGCACTCAGCGTGGTGTAGGCTTGAGTTTCTCTATCCTTCTCCCTCAGCTCCTCCTCCCCACACTTGTTCTCTCTCTCTTTAAAATAAATAAATAAATCTTAAAAAAAAAAAACAAACCAAAAACCTGGTAAGAAACCTTTATCAACAGCTTCATAGAGATTACTGATGTAATTGTGTCTTAACTATGGAATCACATGATAATACTACATTTCTACTGTTTTCCAAAATGCAAAGGGAAGGTTCCAACTTTACTCCTGATGTTAGTTCCAACTTTGATTGAGTAATCTCCAGAGATATAGCACTGAATCCAGTTGAAGATACAAATGGCTCCCGTTCTCAAAGGGTTACTGTCTATTTCCATAATTACGGCTGGTGCCTTTTTGAGATCTGAAATGATTTGGGTATGAAAAGCCTTGTGAAGGTATGCAGTGGAAATACAAATTATGTAATGGATTTCCCCTAAATACACTTCAGCTTCTTCCCTTGTTATTATAAAGGCCAAGAAAACAGAGAGCTCACCGAAAGAAGATGAAAGTTCATATGAAGACAACAGAATGGTGCACGGTATTGGTGAGTACAGGCTAAGCAAGTGGCTTGTGAAGGTATCAAGGAAGAAATGGAATGGTTACGCGAGGCTCTCCCCATTCCATCCTTTGTCACTGCTTCACAGAAATTTCTTCTCCCAAATCCTCCCCAAGGAAATGTTCTCATAAGTGGTTGACACTCTCTTGCACACATTTGATACACAACTATGGGCAAATATGTTTACAAACTGGAAGTCTTGTTGTAATACTAGTATGAAAGCTAGGTTCTTCTTTTGTCCTAAATCCTTTTGCTTCTGAGAAGAAGAATTGAATTAATTCTACCTTATTTAATCTCAAATCCATAACTTACTAGTGAATTTAGACCCCCTATTTAATTCAGACCTAATTCCCAATTGCATACCCCTATCACAAACATTTTTAATTTCAACACAATAAAAATGTCAGGGCTTATTTAACTTCTAACCCACTTGGACATCCTTGAATTATAGACTCCAGACTATGGCCATTGTAGGCAGGCCAAGAAGAGCTGTTTGTTCTTTTTAATTTTTGTTTTTTTGTTGTTGTTGTTTTGGTTGTTCTTTTTTAATTCCCAATTCAAGCTGCACAGAAAATCTAAACTATTGCGTAAAACAGTCTGATGCTGGAGGGTCCCATCTGAACATTAACATGTCCATTAAAATGGTTTCTAATATTTTCCCAAGTTTTCTCTCATTAATGCAAATGGAGCTAATTATCTGGATGAATTTGAGGTTGCATACTCAGTTCAGCTTTGCTTATGTTCCTCTCCAAACTTTCCTGTTAGATTCTTGCATGAACTTCCAGTGTAAAAGAGGACACATCTGTAAGGCTGACCAACAGGGAAAACCCCACTGTGTTTGCCAAGATTCAGTGACTTGTCCTCCTACGAAACTCCTTGACCAAGTAAGTGTTCTACAAAAGGGTCTCCGAGGGGCCCCAAATAGTGATTCAAATGAAAGTGGTTTGCAATTGAAATATTTGGTTAAAAAAAAAAAAGGCAAATATCCAGGTTATCATCTAACACTTGAAATAATATTGAATAGGAAAAAATCCAGCAAAAACAAGGAATTTCCCCTGTGGCCTAAGATGGTAATAATGGCATTGATCTTCAGAACTCATTTTAAAATTCACTGTATCCTTGGAACATCTGTAGTTTGCGTTCTACTGAGCTTATCTAGAGCTAAATTGTCGTCACCACCAAATTTAATTGATTTTTCTTTTTTTTACCAAATGGGACAGTTATCACTTTAATAACTTCACTTACCTGACCACATCATTGGCACAGTTGATCAGTCTACAAGCTTTAAGGAGCAGGGTCTTTCCCCAATGTACATTCAGAAACATGAGCTTTTTCTCACGCTTGTCTGTCCTAGGTTTGTGGCACTGACAATCAGACCTATGCTAGCTCCTGTCATCTGTTTGCTACGAAGTGTAAACTGGAGGGAACCAAAAAAGGGCACCAACTACAGCTGGATTATTTTGGAGCCTGCAAATGTAAGATTCCTCCACTATTCCACCGTTGCTAAGAGGATTTGGGGTGAATCTCTGCATATCTGATGAATATATATATATACTCCTACATGCAAACAGAAAAAGGCTAATGTAGTTCTGAACCTAGGATGCTCACTAAAGGAGAGACTTTATTTTTTTATTTTTTATTTTTTTAAAGATTTTATTTATTTGACAGAGAGAGAGACAGTGAGAGACAAGCAGGGGGAGTGGGAGAGGGAGAAGCAGGCTTCCCACTGAGCAGAGAGCCCGACTGGGGGCTAGATCCCAGGACCCTGGGATCATGACCTGAGCTGAAGGCAGACACTTAACGACTGAGCCACCCAGGTGCCCCTAAAGGAGAGACTTTAAAAAAATAAAAAGAAAAATGCCCAGGCTTTAACTATAAGAGACTGATTTAATTGGACTGGGTTGGGGCTTTGGTATTGTTTTTTCATTTGTTTTTAAAGTAACCAAGACAACTCTAATGTGCAGCCAGGTTGTAAAACCACTATAATAATGTTACCACTTAATAACTGAGACAAATCATTGGAATTTTGCTAAATTACTTGTCCTCTTTCCAAGTACGTTAAGTCTCTGCCAAGAAGTTTTATGATAATCTATCCTTCCAGAAGTTTTCTTAATTGTCTTCCTTTTACCAAGATACTCTCAGTTGTGTTTGGATCTTCTTATCACTAAGTAATTCTCCACTTTAGCTGTGCTCACTGATATTTCCAATTCTCCTCTCCTTCCTGACACACAAGAGTATTAAACTTCTCAGCCCTCTGGATGTTAAATGTGGCCATATGAGTTGCTTTGTTCAATGGAATTTCAGCCAAAAGCATCCATGTGAGTTCTGGGCAGATGTATTTAAGAGTTAGTGTTTGGTCATCTATGCTTATGCTCCCTCCATCTTGTGTGGAGATGGTGGTGTCTTCATCATCCTGAGCCCCAGAGAGACTGCCATGAGCAGAGCCCTCTTGCCAACTTGTATTGGACTCGAATGTCCAACACAGTGACTATAGTTAACACTGCCATATCTGAAAGTTGCTCAAAGAGTAGATCCTAAAAGTTCTCATCGCAAGGAAAAATAAAAATTTTTGTGACTGGATGAGGTGATACAGTTAACTAAACTTACTGTGGTAGTCCCAGCACAAAATATGGATGTCAGTCATTATGCTGTACACCCTGAACTTACACAGTGCTATGTGTCGATTATAGCTCAATAAAACTACAAAAAACGAAACAAAACACTTTTGTTCTTTTAAGCCACTGAGATTGAACATTATTTGTTACCACAGCATAATCTAACTTCCACTTTTGTCTTTTTTCTCCTAATAAAGAGTTCTTGCATCTTCCACCTCCACATGCCAACTTTCTGATTCTAGGTGCAGTGGTTCTCAGCCCTGCCTGTGTATCAAAATTATCTTTGGAACTTTTAAAACATCCTGATACCCAAGATCCATTCCAAACCAATCAAATCAGAATTTCTTTGAATGGAAGCCAGTATCTGGTATGTTTTCCGAACAGCCTGGCGGGCCTGTTGTGCCACCAGGGGTTAAGGAGACTGTTGTGAGGGTAGGACGGTAAGGGAGCCGTCAGTCACCAGATGTTGTTAGGCTCCTATTACGACTACTTGCCATTGGACAGGAGTAGGACCCAAAGATTAAAATCTCTTTTCTTTCCCCTTGGAATAGCTATTCCTATTTGTACAGACTTTGAAGTGACTCAGTTTCCCCTAAGGATGAGAGACTGGCTCAAGAATATCCTCATGCAGCTTTATGAGCCGAACGCTGAACATGCTGGATATCTAAATGAGAAGCAGAGAAATAAAGTAAGTTACCCACAGGTCAGCTACCTAAGTGTCTGTCTACAGGGCCTGAGGAAAAAGGATGTGTGTGTTGGGGGCAGGGGGGCCTACCTCCCTCTGCATATCAGCAAGAGCCCACTTTGCCTTCCCCCACCTGGTAAGTTCATATGTACTACAGAATAGTAGTGGTCACCATTCATGCCACAAGGTTTGAGACACAGCCAAACCACCCCATTCCTACTCAAAGGGCAGCGGCCTGCGCAAGGACTCTTTAACTCACACTCTAGAGCAAACCCTGGTTGAGCAAAGTGAACCTCAATTCAGCATTTCTATGTTCAGGCCCAGACATATTATTTAAATTTAAACATTTTTTTGCCCTCCTAGGCCAGACAGATTTATTATATAAGAGAAATCCCCTACTTGCAAAGTCAGTAATATATTAAGATTTAAAAGTTCAGAATATTTATTCCAGAAGTTCTCAGGGATAACTCATTCATCAAATAGCTATTGATTGCATCTCAGGTATCTGGAATTGATTTACATACTGGAGATACAGCAATGAACCAAACAAAAATCTCTGCCTTTATGAGATTACATTCTAGGCAAAGAGACTGTGAACAAATATGTGTGTGTGTGTGTAAATGTGTGTATGTGTGTATGTGTTGAGTGTGTGTATAAATTTTGCAAATATGGTCATACATGCAAATATATAAACATGTAAATAAATATGCAAATATATGTATAAGATACTTCAGATGGAATGCTATAAAGAAAAAAATTAAACAAGAAGGAGGCTATGAATTAACTGTGTCAAATGCTGTTTAAAGGTTGTAAGATGAGGACTGACTTGGCCACCGATATGGCATGTGGTGGTCACAGAGTTGATCTTGACAGAAGCTGTTTCTGCAGAATGGAGAGGAGAAAAGCCTGAGTGGACAGGGTTCAGAAGAATAGGAGGAAGGATGTGGAAGCATCAAGTATAGGCAATATTTTCACAGCATTTTGCTATAAAGATGAAAAGTGAGATGGGTGGCATCCGGAGGGGAATGTGAGTTCAAGGGTCCCATCTACCAGTGGGAGATGGTAAAGGATGTTTATATGCCTCTGGTAGTAACCCAATAAAGAAGGAAAAACTAATGAGGGGTAGAAAAGGTGCCCAACTGCCATAGGGTGTTCTTGAAGAGATGAAAAGGAGTAGGCTCCTGAGTACCAGTGAAGGGTTGGGCTTATATTCAGAGCATAGGAAGTTCATCCGTGCTAACAAGGAGGGGGGTTGGTGAATATGGTCATGGGAATGAGTAGAAGTTCCGTTCTAATTGCTCCCTTTTTTTTTTTTAAGATTTTATTTATTTATTTATTTGACACAGAGAGAGAGAGAGAGAGAGAGCACAGCAGGGGGAGTGGCAGGCAGAGGGAGAAGCAGGCTCCCTGCAGAGCAGGGGGAGCCCGATGTGGGACTCGATCCCAGGACCCCGGGATCATGACCTGAGCTGAAGGCAGTTGCTTAACCAACTGAGCCACCCAAGCGCCCTGTTCTAATTGCTTCCAGTTAGTTCATGAGTAACATCACAAGCTGAGAGTTTTATATAAATTGCCCAGAAATAATTTCTGTCCTCTCTCTTTAATACATCATCATGAAAACCTTGAGAGCATTACATACAAAACAGGGAAATTTTAATGGGGGTGGCCAAGTGGTGTCACACCACGGCTAGACTGTGAGCAGACACTGGACTGAAGTACACAGAGAACTAAGAATGGAGTATGTCAGTGGGGGGAAAGCAAGACTTTTTACTAACTTACCAGTAATTTTGCTTAGGTCAATTTAGCCCCTTTCATTAAAACCTTCTTCTACTGTGATGAATAGTACCCGGTTAAAAGAAAAATCAGAAGACTTAAATCTCTTCTGAAAACCACAGGTTGTTGTTGTTGTTGTTGTTGTTTTTTAATGTTAGTTGTTATTCTCTGTAGAAATAAGAAAGTCTATAGTGTTGATTAGAAAGTATTTCATTTGGTCTCATATGATGGTCTGGGCTTATTTTCCTCTGTCATGTCACTGTCACTCTTTAAGTAGTTTAGCAAGTGATAATTCCATTTCACTTGTCTGGTTCCCCCATGATTTTCTCCCTTCCTAATCCCAGGTCAAGAAAATTTACCTGGATGAAAAGAGGCTCTTGGCTGGGGACCATTCCATTGACCTTCTCTTAAGGGACTTTAAGAAAAACTACCACATGTATGTATATCCTGTGCACTGGCAGTTTGGTGAACTTGACCAACATCCTATGGACAGGTAAAAACTCTTTATCTTCCCAATACTAGGTCATCTCCCTGATATAATATCTTACTTATCTATACAAAGATAATTCTAAACAAATTTAGGAAGTTTCCCAGCTCTGATTTAGAACATTGAGATGCCAAACAAATGTGGTTAGGTGTCTAAACACAAAACTGCTTTGAAAAGAACAGAATATGGCCACACCATGGTTCCCAAGTTTAAATGTTAGGACCCAGCCTGCAACAGAGACTCCTTCAATTCTTTCTCATTCGTGATCCTAAATTCCCAAGAAAATCTGATTGGCCCAACTTGGGTAAAGTGCCTACACCTGGAACAATCAGGTATGGTCAGTGGGTAAGAGCCAGGTTGTACAAACACGATTGCTGGCGGGGGCATCCCTATAAATTTAAGATCGTGGGAGAATACATGCCTGCGAGGAAGGAAACCTTGTGACATCCCAAGCGCTGTCTATCTTACCCATAAATAGTTTATTTCATTTGCAGTTTTTCATGAGTGTACTATTTATTTGGCATAAGTAGCAACCTTGTGGAAGGAAAATGCCTTGGTTATCCTAAAAGTTAACTTTGGTATACAAGCTACTCTTTAACATACTGCCATTTACTTTATTGCAGAGTCTTGACTCATTCTGAGCTTGCTCCTTTGCGAGCATCTCTGGTGCCCATGGAACACTGCATAACTCGCTTCTTTGAGGAGTGCGACCCCAACAAGGATAAGCACATCACCCTGAAGGAGTGGGGCCATTGCTTTGGGATTAAAGAAGGTAAATTCATCATCAGCCCAGGGAGAGGGGTGTCCTTTTCTCCAGCAGAGCCCTAAACCCTCCTAGAGAGGTCCTGCTGTGTTCTCAGATTGAAACCTCAAGACAGCAAGGTGGCAGCACTGCAGGTAGAAGTCCCTCAGTGCACATGCTGTCATGGCAAGGTTATTTCCTACTTCCCTTACAATACTCTTTTTTCAAAGGGTAACAGGTGGGAATATGTAGGGGATAACTACACTGAGGTCTTAGCAGTTGCCTAAGCTAAAGAAAATGATGTCAATCCACAGAGCTGTGCCAAATGTCAGAAGGCTACCCTTCTGAGGAAGAAGGGATTTTATATCCTTTCTTAACCTGGGTATTGGTTCAAACTTCTAAAAATTGTATGTAAAGAGTAAAACAGCAAGTCTGATTCTGCCAGTGAGAGATGTCAGAAAAATCTTAGAATTCATTACGGATGCACTGGAGATTGGGCCTCATATCACAAGTTGTGTCCAGATATTATGCCTTTAATCCATGACTTCATCTTCAATGACAATAATAATAATAATAATAATAGTAATAATAATCGAGGGTTCTTTCTTTACTCCTGTGATGGAGGAATTTAGACATTTGTTTTGCTAGGTTATGTCTTAATGTACTTCCTTTTATTTTCCTAAGTTAAAGCTGATTTTTATGAGCAAGCATGTTTTTAAAAATCAAGATTGGAAAGATGTTCAAAAAATGAAGAATCAGAGCTGCTTGCACAATGTAAATCAACAGTAAACATCAAATCTCTAAAGCAGAGGTTTTATATGTATGTTCACAACATACAAGTAGGATGAATGTACACCCAATCAGTAAAGAAAAGTGAGTTCATCAAAGGTCAGAATTTCCCAAAAAGAGGTAACTTGTGTGACCTTCATTTTAAAAATATTCTTCATGGTATGTACAATGCCTTGAAATTAAAGAGAAAGAGTGGAGAGTCAGAAGATTTACTTACTTATTGATAAATAGGTAAGCAGAAAAGATTAGCTCTTTTCCTCTGCAATATTATTCTGTGAAATAAGCACAACTGTAATGAGCAAAGAATGTGTATTTCTGTAAGCACCGAGTGCTGTGTATTGGTTGCCTAATGCTGTGTAACCAATAACTCTAAAGCTTAGAAACTTAAAATCTCACAGTTTCCAAGATCAGGAATCTAAGAGTAGTTCACCTGGATGGTTCTGGCTTGGGTTCTGCTCTCAGCTGCTCTAAGCTCACCCACATGGCTATTGTTGGGAGGCTTCATTTCCTCACCATGTGGTCCTCTCCATGGGATTGCTCACAGCACAGCATCTGGTTTCCTCCAGAGTGAGTGATCAGAGAGAAAATAGAGAGTGAGGGAATCTAAGATTGAAGCTGTAATGTCTTTTATAACCTAATCGCAGAAGTGACATACATTACTTCTGCCATATTCTGTTGGTCAGGCAGACAGCCCTACTGTAATGTGGGAGGAGCTCTTGGAGGCTGGCTGTAACATACTGTTTATACCCTGTTAGCATTGATAGGAAATTAACAAGCTATTAAGACAGAGACCTGCATAAATAATACCAATTTCCTTTCTAACATCTATTCTATAAGCACATTACTTATAAATTCAAATATACTCCTAAAAATGGCTAAAACTGTCTTTTCTAATTCCCATGTTAAGAAGGAAAAATTTGAGATCTAGCAAATTTTGGGTGGAGTCTTTGGGTTTTCCACTTAAAGTATCATGTCATCTGTGAAGAGCGAGAGTTTGACTTCTACTTTGCCAATTTGGATGCTTTCTATTTCTTTTTGTTGTCTGATTGCTGAGGCTAGGACTTCTAGTACTATGTTGAACAACAGTAGTGAGAGTGGGCATCCCTGTCGTGTTCCTAATCCTAGGGGAAAAGCTCTCAGTTTTCCCCCATTGAGAATGGTATTGGCTGTGGGCTTTTCATACAGCCACTCTGAAAAACAGTATGGAGATTCCTCAAGAAGCTAAAAATAGAGCTACTCTATGACCCAGCATTTGCACCACTAGGTATTTACCACAAAGATACAAATGTAGTGATTTGAAGGGACACCTGCACCCCAATGTTTATAGCAGCAATGTCCAGCACCAATGTTTATAACAACTGTGGAAAGAGCCTGGATGTCCATCGACAGATGAATGGATAAAGAAGAATATTCCATAATGGAATATTACTCAGCCATCAGAAAGGATGAAATCTAACCATTTACATAGACATGATGGAACTGGAGGGTATTATGCTGAGAGAAATAAGTCAATCAGAGAAAGACAATTATCATATGGTTCTACTCATATGTGGAATGTAAGAAACTGTAGAGGATCATAGGGAAAGGGAGGGAAAACTGAATGGGAAGAAGTCATGGAGGGAGATGAACCATGAGAGACTCTAAACTGTAAGAAACAAACTGAGGGTTGCTGGAGGGGAGATGGGTGGGGAGATAGGGTAACTGGGTGACGGGCATTAAGGAGGGCACGTGATGTGGTGAACACTGGGTGTTATATGCAACTGATGAATTACTGAACTCTACATCTGAAACTAATGAGGTACTATATGTTGGCTAATGGAGTTTAAATTTTTTAAATTTTTTTTTTTTAAGATTTTATTTATTTGCGAGAGAGAGAATGAGAGACAGAGAGCATGAGAGGGAGGAGGGCCAGAGGGAGAAGCAGACTCCCCGCCGAGCAGGGAGCCCGATGCGAGACTCGATCCCGGGACTCCAGGATCATGACCTGAGCCGAAGGCAGTCGCCCAACCGACTGAGCCACCCAGGCGCCCCGAGTTTAAATTTTTTAAAAAGGACAAAATATACCCAAGTACAGCCACCCCACTCTCCCCACCCCACCATTATCAAGAGGGGGGAAACTTAGCTGGGATAGGACATATTTATGTATGCCCTTTTACATGGCATTTAATTTTAATGGAGTGACCAAATTGGAACAGAGTCCATTTATTTAAGGAAACCAGTTGTGCTCCACTGTCCTAAAACTTCTGGCAACTCTTCAGCATGTAGTCTCACTCAGGCTCTGTGCTGGGCGGTTGTCTGGGAGGAGCAGGAAGGGCTTAGAGTTCAGTAACTCGAAAAGCTCCTAATGATCTTGTTTGTTCACTGTGGTTTGGCCATGATCACGTTATTTTGAAGAAGGGAAAGAATTATCACATAGTAAACCAATAAAGCAAATATTTAATATTCAGTCAGAATAAGTAAACAAGTTACTGCTTTGGGATGTAGCTAGGGAAAACAAAACAAAACAAAATATTTTTAATTATGCTCTTCCTTCCCTCATGGCTGAGAAATCCACAGAAGGACAAGATAAATCTTAGCCAGTGTTTTCCTGAATTTTAACTGACTTTTATCTGAGCTAGATGTGCTCAAATATTCCAGCTCTGTCATTAACTAGCTACGTGAGTTAGGGCATACCGCTTAACCTCAGCAAGTCTCATTTTCCTTATGTGTAAAAATGAGGTTTAATTAAAAGGTGGAGGAGTCTTATTTATTTAGTGCCCATGACATACCATGTATCCACGTTAATCTTCAGAAGAACCTTCTAAGTGAGACCAACAGAGCAAACGAGTCAGATCATGCAGGTCCTACTAAACCAATTAAAGACATTATCCTAAGAGTACTGGAGGATCATGAAAGTGTTTTAAACAAGGGAGTGATTTCACTAGATTTGTATTTAAGAAAGATTCTTTTGGGGCGCCTGGGTGGCTCAGTTGGTTAAGCGACTGCCTTCGGCTCAGGTCATGATCCTGGAGTCCCAGGATCGAGTCCCATATCGGGCTCCTTGCTCAGCAGGGGGTCTGCTTCTCCCTCTGACCCTCCCCCCTCTCATGTGCTCTCTCATTCTCTCTCTCAAATAAATAAATAAAATCTTTAAAAAAAAAAAAAAAGAAAGAAAGATTCTTTTGGTTACATTGTGGAGAAGCCCAAGAAGAGTTGAGAGGATGTGTGGTAAGTTCAGGCATAGTTGATGAGAATTTGAACTAGGGCAGTTACAGTAGGGAAAAAGAAAAGGAAAACTGTTCAAGATATATTTAAAAATATAAACATATTCAAGACATATTCAAGAATATAGACATATTCAAGATGTATAGAAATAATAAGACAATGTTTGCTAGGAAATATGTGGGGGCAGGGAGCAGACAGAGAGATTGAGAGAAAGAGAAGTATGAAACCCAGGCTCCCTGCTCAGCCCAGGCAGGTAAACAGAGGCACAGAGATAGAAAACACAAGAACAGAAGCAGATTTGGGGAAGATTTTAACTTCATTTATGACATGTTGAACTTTTAGGTACATGGGAGACAATGTACAGTTGATAGATGAATATATGGGTCAGCTTTTCAAGAAGGCATTTTGGAATTCAAGTACATGAGGATTATGAGCATACAAAAAGTACTTAGCACCATAAAAGGGAATTACTTAGAAAAATGTGTTCAGTTACATGGAAAAGGCTCGAGGGTTGAACACCAAGGAACAACAATATCTGGATGATAGAGGAGGAAGAAGGAGTTCACAAAGAAGAATGAAAAGTCTCTTGAAAGGAAGGAAGAAAACAGGATAGTGCCTTGTCAAAGGAGTTGTTCAAAGAGGAGGAAGAGATCACAGTGCCAAATGCTGCTGAGATGTCAAGATAAAAGACTAAGAATATTCCTTTTACATAGAACTAAGGATACCCTGAGTGGCCTTAGTAAGAGCAATTTTGGTGGAATGGTAGAGATGGAAGCCAGATTGTATAGCCTGAGAGAGAATAGATGAGATCTGGTCAAGAGTGGCTGTTCCAAGGCAGGACAGAGCTAAAGAGGGTTGTAAAGTTGAGGGAAGGATTTCTGGGAATAAAACAAGCTTGAGCACTGACTCATTCATTCATTCAACAGGTGTTTACTGATGGTCCACATAGTGCCAAGCACTGTTCTCAAGGCTGGATATGCAATCTATTTAAATGCTAATAGGAAGGGCCCAGTGAGGAAAAAAAGTGGAGGATATAAGAAAGAAAAGCAAAAGGGGAAAATTAGGGGAGAACTTCTGAGGTCAGGAGAGATCCTGGGCACAGGCAAAGGATTAGCCTAAAGTCAACAGGAAGGACATCTCTCATCTAAACAACAGAAAGAAGACAAAAAGTATGAACACAACGATAAGTAAATTTACAAGTCATGAGACTAAAATGTCCGTTTTACAAATGAAGCCATTATTCAAAAGAAATATGCCAAAGTTCATAATCTTTCCTACTCTTGGGCAGAGACTTACATTGGGCAGGAAAATTACCTGGTGTCCCAGACGGGGTAGTAGTTTAGTATGGTTCAAGTTTATCTGCTTAAGTATTTGTTCAACAATTAGTGAGTGAGGGTGAGCCATACTGGTAGGCGGGGTCTTATATCCCCTAAAGGATGCTGTCTTCTTTCATAGGTGTGGCAGCAAGTTCTTTTATAATTACTTGTTTGGAGGGGCACCTATAATTACTTGGTTGGAGGGGCACCTGGGCGGCTCAGCCTGTTAAGCATCTGACTCTCAATTTCAGCTCAGTTCATGACCTTGGGATTGTGAAATAGAGCCCTGCATTGGGCTCTGCACTGGCCATGGAGGCTGCTTAAGATTCTCTCTGCCTTTCCTTCTGCCCCCCGACTCTGGTGTGTGCATTCTCTCTCTAACTCTCTTAACTTTTTGCATACACAAAAAATAATAATTACTTGGTTGGAAATTTGATTTAATTGGCACTATACTTCTTATTTCTATTATATTTTAACAATCCTTAGAGGTTAGTATACTTGATACTTCCTTGGCTGGGCCTCTACTAGTCCTTCTCAACCGTACATTAGAACTACCAATGGAGCTTTTTAAATGTATACATGCCATTGTCCCATCCCTGGAAGTTCTAATTCAGGAGGCCAGGGGTATGGCCTGAGGGTGTATCTTTTTTTTTTTTAATTGCGATACAGTTGACACATAAAGTTACATTAGTTTCAGGTGTGCAATAGAGGGATTCAACAAGTCTATATGTTACCATTCTGCTCACCACAAGTGTAGCTACCATCTGTCACCATACAGCGCTATTACAATACCATTGACTATATTCCTTACACTGTATCTTTTATCCCTGTGACTTATTCGTTCCATAACTGGAGGCCTGTATCTCCCACCCTCCTTCACCCATTTTGCCCATCTCCCCACCCCCTCCACTCTGGCAACCATCAGTTCTCTATCCTGCTTTTTGTTTGTTCATTTGTTTTGTTTTTTAGATTCCGCATATAAGTGAAACCATACAGTATCTTTTTAAAGCTTCACAGGTGATGCTGATGCCCTACCAGGGTTGAGAACTATCCTACAGTCTTATTAAATGGTTTCTCTAATCCCCCAGCTCTGACATTATTTGTTTATATTACTACTCTGGCTATTTTCTAAAAGTGTGTTTTGCTTTGTTTTTTACAGAAGACATAGATGAAAATCTCCTGTTTTGAATTATGATTTGAAAGAACTCATACATTCCAGCATCTTCCTGTGTTTCTGACCACTCCTGAAATTATATGCAGCCACAATACTTGTAGATTTATATTTAGTAAAATGTTTGCATGTCTGAGAAGACAATGAGAGTAATTGCTTGCTAACAGTTTATGCTTGCTAACAGTGTATGCACCAAGCATTTAACATTAACTTCGGTAATAAAAGTTTAAATAAAGTCAACATATGCAAAATACTGTGTACTATTTGTGAACAGGAGTTTAACTCATCACTCTCTGCATCCATTTATGAGATACTAATTATAAAACTTGAAGAAAATACTACATTTTGTTCATATTATCATGTACACTTCAAGAAGATGGAATAATGCTCTTTTGTTGTTAATGTGTATTATTTTCAGTATCTTAACGTCCTAATAAAAATCTAAATGCTTACTCAAGCTTATTTCCAGTCATTTATTTAAACAACTGTATGTGAAAGACCAACTCAGGATTCACGCTTCAAATCAAATTGTAATTGTGCTTCCTAGGTCCTACTACTTTTAAAAAGAAAAAAAAAAGTGTGAGTGTGGTTGGGGAAGATGTTTCCTATGGGAAACAAATATTCAGTTGCTAAATAGTAGATGCTTATTAATGTCCTTTGTCGTAATGTAAATTTAAACAGAAAAAATAAATAAATTCAAGTGCTTTCTACTAAATTCAATTTAATATATGGATGACTATGCACTCCTCAATACAACTAATTCTAATTGTTGTGCAGCTGTCCATGTGTGTTGGGAGAAGGGGGGCCTTGCAAAATTTCTACACATTTCACGTCCTCAAAATACAAGTAATGTAAAGATAACATAGACAGTAGAAAGCTCTGAAGTGCCTTAATGTCCAAGGTGGTCAGAGATAAATATTACTACTGTAAATTGATAGCAAGAAATCAGTCATAAGAGAAAATTTGTGTTTTCATTTGAACTCTTTCTTCTTTGATAACAATACAGTAAAGGCTAGATTGCAAAAATAATAAGAAACCATAATAGAGCTTTTTCCAAGGTCTGAACTAAGGCATAAAAGAACCTGTCACCTTCTATATTCTATTTAATAATATTTAAAAGAAAATAAAATGTTTTTGTTACGTATTTTCCTATCTGAAAGATATCAATGCAATTATCTTTATTTTTTCAAATAATCAAAAATGTATTGTTGTGTTAAGAGCTTTGTCTGTTGTAGTCACTGAGAGAATGTGCCCCCAAAGAATTTCATCTAAAGGAACTTATGGAAAAGTGTGCTTTTTATCAGAATAATTTTCTCTGATTAACTTCAAAATTGTATTACCTATTTTCTTAGCTCTGTGAGTCACTTCTTAACCAGATCATATCACACCAGTCATTTCTAAATAATTAAGTTCAATTTGAATAATCAAAATCTAAGTATTATATATAATTTTTTCCAACTAGGGAAATGATTTTAGAAATTAATCCAAAATTCAGAATGTTTTTATTTGTAGCTGCAAAGAAATGTCATGAGAAGTCTTAACTAATTAGTTATAAATTTATGAATTTGTTAGGAACAGTGAAATTATATTTGGAGGTATTAATTAGAACTAAATTACCATTTTAAATGTTTTAGAATAGTGAAAAGTGATTTTAATTATAAAGACACTACCTGTTTATTAAAATGTTTTATTTGAAAATAAGTTCATTTTGGAATGATAAATATTATTTAATAATAGAAAATTTTAGAACCTTAAATTTTCTGTCCACTAAGTCTCCCTTGTATATTGCTGCCCTAGATGATATATTGTGGATGTACTTTAATATTCTTGGTAGTCACAATTTTTAATTGTGGTTTGTTTGTAATAAAGACATTGCTCTAATCCCAACCAAGGAGATGAAGTTATTTTCTCAGTCATCAGTCTTTAAGCCCTATCTCTGTGTGAGATACTTTAGAAAAAGTTCGACTTCTAGTCTGAAACCATTTATTCAGTTTAGCTTTAAATCTTGTGACTCATATTGCCCATGACCATAAAGGCATTCGTAATATGGCTTAAATACTAGATAGGCGTACAGATTCTAGAAGATCACACTGCTCCTTGACTTCTTTGCTCCGAGGGCCATTTGAAGCAAAGGTAATTAAAAAGACATACGGTATATTCTGGGCTGATTCTATTGCACTAGGTAAAAGAAGGTAAAATTTTCTCGTGTTGGGTAATTTATGATTTCTAGCAAGCCCACTTATCAAAGAAGAAAATTCAAGGGTTTCGATCCTGAAGGAAGAAAAGTCCAAAGGAGAAACCTGAAAAAGAAGAGAAAGGTAGATGAGTTGCCTAATTCAGGCAAAGTAAAATAGCATGAAGATAAGTCATAGTTGAGTTTAAAATATATATAAAATAGTTGAAGAGTGACTTTTATAAAGAGATTATACCTTGCTTCAGATGCTGGTGACAAGTCTTATGAAGAATGTGATGAATTTGATTTTCTTTCAAAATTCAATTCCAGAGTACAGTGGTTTGGTTTGAAACCCACATGGTAAGTTAATTTGAATTAAATGTGATTTAAGACCATAAAAATGCTTGCTTTCAGAATCTGCTGGCCAGTAAAGACCACACTGATTTCCTTTTTTGAATTTACTCATATTTACTAGTATTGTGCTATTCTCTACCAATCCACTGTGCCTTACAAGATTTTTCCCCTATCGTTTTCTTCTTGAGAAATTATAATTGTCAGTAACAGCATCCAGACTATGTGAAAGTCTAGTAAGTCTCATGTGGGTAGAAGCTTGAGGTGGATTTATTTGTATATTATATAAGAAATCTCATTTGAGGGGTACCTGGGTTAAGCATCTGCCTTCGGCCCAGGACATGATCCCAGGGTCCTGGGTTTGAGCCCTGTATCAGGCTTTCTGCTCAGTGGGGAATCTGCTTCTCTCTCTCTCTCTCTTTCTCTCCCTCTCTCTCTCCCTCCCTCCCCACTGCTCGTTTTCTCTCAAATAAATAAAATATTAAATAAAAAAAAAAGAAATCTTGGGGCACCTGGGTGGCTCAGTCGTTAAGCGTCTGCCTTCGGGTCAGATCATGATCCCCCGGTCCTGGGATCGAGCCCCACATCGGGCTCCCTGCTCCGCGGGAAGCCTGCTTCTCCCTCTCCCACTCCCCCTGCTTGTGTTCCTGCTCTCGCTGTGTCTCTCTCTGTCAAATAAATAAATAAAATCTTTAAAAAAGAAAAAAAAATCTCATTTGAGCCAGTGGTGGTATGTCTGCAATACTAAGCATGATGCAACACTGGTGTTTAAAGATTGGTGGGTAGAGGTCACAAATTCAAATAACTTCAGGGACCAAACAGCTATAGGTTAAACTGTGAGATTATATATATATATTTTTAAAGATTTTATTTATTTATTTGAGAGAGAGAGAATGAGAGACAGAGAGCATGAGAAGGAGGAAGGTCAGAGGGAGAAGCAGACTCCCTGCCGAGCAGGGAGCCCGATGCGGGACTCGATCCCGGGACTCCAGGATCATGACCTGAGCCGAAGGCAGTCGCCTAACCAACTGAGCCACCCAGGCGCCCTAAACTGTGAGATTATAAGGAAGAGTAGGAATTGTATGCAATGTTATGAGCCCAAGAATGTATGTCTTGTCTGAAGGCATTCAAAGTTTTTTAAAGCACTGTTCTAGGCTTACAAAACCTAAATCTGGAGGCAGAATTTAGCTTGACCACTATTTCAACAGCTCTAAGTAAACAGCCTATTTACAACAGAAATAGGACTTAGAAAAAACTAAAAATGATCTTCTAACCCTTCAATTCCAGACTCTTCCTTCAGAATGCAATTTCTCATCTTGGCTGGCCTTTTGAGCATTGCCACTGCTCTGCCGATCCCTGTGAGTACACCTCCTCCATTGTCCACTCCATTTCCATTCTGGAGACAGTATTTCTGGGCTAGGAAGCCTTTCCTGTATCTTTTCATTTCACAAAAGAGAAAGGTAGAGTCCAGGAAAGTTGTAGAATCAGGAATTTATCACTTGTCCTCACCCAGTAGTCTTCCCAGGACCAATCTCAGTCCCACGTGCCATCTGCTAACTGGGTGACCTTGAGCAAGGAGCTGACCCATGGCTTCTCAGTCTGTAAAATGAGTCATAAGAATGATCTCAGAGTAGTGCAAAGATAACAAAAATACATCTGAAGCACATAAGAGTCCTGACTGGAAAATAGGAAGCTCTCAAATAAATTTAGCCAGATGGAACCCTATTCCACAGTGACCTAAGTCCTAAGTATGCAGTTTTTTGTTGTTGTTGTTGTTGTTTTTAAAGATTTTATTTATTTATTTGAGACAGAGAGAATGAGAGACAGAGAGCATGAGAGGGAGGAGGGTCAGAGGGAGAAGCAGACTCCCTGCCAAGCAGGGAGCCCGATGCGGGACTCGATCCCAGGACTCCAGGATCATGACCTGAGCCGAAGGCAGTCGCTTAACCAACTGAGCCACCCAGGCGCCCTAAGTATGCAGTTTGAATTGAGTTTCATTTATGATATCTTTACCCCAGTCCATCTCACGTTGACTACAGCCATGCCTTCCGCATCTATACCAATGAGATCTAGGAGTGTCATCTGTATCAGCTACAATCTGAATAAGTAGGACACCCAGTAGACAAGAAATCCTCTTTCCTGCACGTTTTGTAACCAAGGAGCTTTCAAAGTGAGGGAGCTTTCAAAATTTGTGTTTGGGGATACAAAATTTAAATTTACAGTACTATACTCCCTTCACTTTGAACTTCTAAACACTGAGAACTAAATTGAGAACACTGTTGATTTGAAGATAAAGAGGCATGCAACATGTAATTACTCTTAAGAAACGTAAATGAAAACATTCCGAAGTAAGTTTAAAGGCAAAAAGTACACCTTCTAAATCACTGAACAAAATTAATTCGACATTTCCCCATTAGATAGGCAACGCTTTTCATTTCAGAAGTGAAGGTACAGGGGCGCCTGGGTGGCTCAGTCATTAAGCTTCTGCCTTCGGCTCAGGTCATGGTCCCAGGGAACTGGGATCGAGCCCCGCATCAGGCTCTCTGCTTGGCGGGGACCCTGCTTCTCCCTCTCCCACTGCCCCTGCTTGTGTTCCCTCTCTCGCTGTCTCTCTCTCTGTCAAATAAATAAATAAAATCTTAAAAAAGAAGAAGAAGAAGAAGTGAAGGTGCACCACTGGTGGGCGTACTGCCGAATAGTGGCCTGTTACCTATTCTCATAAAATCTCTTTGTAACGAATACTGTATTGGCATATGTTGCTTCACCTTGTTGCTGTTGTTGTTTTACAAGCTTGAACAATTTGGAGGAAGTACCAGTGAACAGGTAAACTTCTCGTATTTTCAAATACGGTGCTCATCATTTTTAAAGTTTACAGTTGTCTGAAATAACTGACATCATGTTTCTTTTTACAGAGATTTGGCTTTTACCCACCACCAGGACCACCATTTTTTCCTCAGATCCTGTTTCCCCCACCTCTGCCTCCCCAACTGCCCTTGGTAAACATGGGTTTGAGGAATCTCAAATTACAAAACATATGTATTACTTAGATGATGGCTATTAAATTTCCCAGATTTTCATACCCAAATATGAGGCTTTAAGAGCTTGCCAGGCATCAGCTCTTCACACCCCCGCCCCGCACAGCCTGTGGTGGAATGTGACAAGTGGCCAGAGGATTTCCCCCTCTGAATCATCAGTGACTTCTTCCAGTTGCCATCAAAAAGGTGTTCATACTGAATTCCTTTGACTGTGGTGAGCCTAGGTGCTCTTCATGAAGAAAATACCTCTTTCAATACCTTTTTCCAAATCATCTTGCTGCTTTTTTTTTTTTTTCCCAGCTCTCTGTAACTTTTTCTCAGAGGTGAAACAATATAATTAGTTTACTCTTCCTGTTAGTTCCTCTCCAATGTCTTCTAATATCTAGAATCTTGTAACATTTGTAAATAAAGGCCAGAAGAGTGCTAAATACATAATAGAATTTCCTTCACTCTCTATGTAATACTTACACTCATACAGACAGGTAACATTCATTCGATTAATATTTACTGAGTGTCTACTGCATGGTAGGGTCTCTAGTGAGGGCTGGAAATACAAAAACTGTAAGTTCACAATTGGATGAGAGAGAAATCTGTAAATGTAAAAATATAAGTTGATAAGTGCTTCTAGATGTAAATACATAGTTGACTTGGGCCGTGATCAAAGACTTCATTCACAGAGGAGAAGTGATCGGAGCCCGGTCCCAAGGGCTGAGGAGTGGGCGGGGCGCTGCGGGCAGAGGGAACTGCAAGTGTGTGGGAAGGACCTGAGAACGACAGGACAATCTGGGCGAAGGATCAGGACAATGAGGCTGTAACACAGACTGGAGATGTGTTACATTTGGACAGTATTTAAGCAATGATATTTTGAAAAGTTCACACACATTTTAAAATAGAATCTTGCTTGGGGCGCCTGGGTGGCTCAGTCGGTTAAGCGGCTGCCGTCGGCTCAGGTCATGATCCTGGAGTCCCTGGATCGAGTCCCGCATCGGGCTCCCTGCTCTGCGGGGAGCCTGCTTCTCCCTCTCCCTCTGCCTACTTGTGTTCTCTCTCTATCTCTCTGTCAAATAAATAAATAAAATCTTAAAAATAAATAAATAAAATAAAATAGAATTTTGCTTAACTTCTTGTCTACCACCTACTTTGAAAACAAACATGGTTTTGTATGATTTTTGTTTTATATCTAAATGTAATAAACACCTTTTTGCTTGTATTTAATTTCAAACTGTTTATATCACAACTTTAAGTAGGCTTTTGGAAATTTGTCACTGAAGTTACAGTACTCAATGGAACAGTCTTTAATGTTTTCACATATCCTGAATTTCTAAGTACTTGCATTTATCATTAATTGCTAATTAATTGCTAATTTTGGTTCTAGTCAAGGCTAGAGCATTGTTTCCCTTTTCGTTTTCTGGCTGAAATTCAGTTAAGATTTAAGTTTCTCTGTTAACATCTTATGTAAATCCGTATGGCAACAAAGAATCACTAGTATTTGAAATGGAAACTTCCTTCCACCAGATGGCAGAGTAGTATTAAAATCAAATAAACCACTATAGAGAAATTGGCAGATTCACAAGAACTATCAAGCCCATAAGACAGATTCCTTGGCTTTCGATTTGACTAATTAAGCCAAAAAAAAAAAAAAAAGGCATACCTCTCAAGAGAAAAAAAATAATTTAAAATCCCTTAGAATCTAAGCTCCACCAAGTAGAAAGTGGGCTCCTTTAAGAGCATATAATTGTTCAATAAGTACTGGATGGATGGATGGATGGATGGATGGATGGATGGATGGATGGATGGATGAGTTAATGAGAAAAAAAGCTAAAACAAAATTTTGTTTTATTCACAATTCACTTTCCCCCTCTTTTTTTGTAGATTCCAATTCCTCTTCCTTTTCCTTTTCCTTTTGATCCAAATCAGGTAAGTATACTTAAAATGTCATTAAGAAAGTATTTAAATGAATACAAAACAAAAAATTGAAAATTCTTTAGATTTAATTGGAGAGAAACCTGATACCAAGGATTAATAGTCATCATTCTCTTTTGGACCTTCAGTTATTGGTATTTTATCTGGTTTGAGTCATTTAATGTACAAATCTCACATACCCTTGCAAACTGAACTACCTAAGACCTGAAACTTTCCTTGATCGTGTGGAAGGAACCCAGGAAACTAGTAGAAAAAGCATTTGAAGTCAAATAATCTAGGGATGCAAACTCTGCCATTTCATACTTTGGAGTGATCTTGAATTCCTTTGAGTCTTACTTTCTTCTAGATTATAAAATAATGAAAATGAATGATTTATAAAGTCCATTTCACCTCTAAAATCATATGCTTATATCTGCCATTAATGAGATAAAAATGCATTCTTATTGAAATGGAATCCTTTGAACTGGATTTAAGATTATGGTCATGTTATAAAAGGATTATTTAAATTTTACTTTTGACAGGATTTTGCTGAATGGGAGGACAATTACATGTGATGAGATTGATTGAGTCACAAACCAAAAAATAAGTTGTGTATTTTATAGCATATTAAAACTAAATTTTTTAATGATACTCCTATTACAATGATAGGAAATGACATTATTAAGGTTTTCTTTCATAAAGAAGTGATCCTAAAATATAGTCTTTTTTCCAACCTAGTAGGCATAAGTTTAATGACCTTTTCAAAAAGTCCCTGCTGTGTTTGGATACCACAAAAGAAAATGTGGACTATATGCTTCCAGAGATAGTAGGTTTGGGGGGGGGGGGAAGGGGGAGTTACTTAAAATATTAGTGAATATGATTCTTAATGACATAATTTTAGAAATGTAAAAATTCTAAAAAGCATGTTTTCATTAATCAAGCTAATATAAAATGTATAACATAGACAAGATAAACAAAATGCTGAATTACAACTCCTTATTTTATTACATTTTATTCTAGGTCCTGACACTTAATGATCTTATAATGGTAAATATATCTGCCCTGTTAATGTATAAAGTTCATAAAAATGTTACATGGAACTCCTTATATAAGATAGGCCAGTTCATCATGAAAATTACTATCTTCATGCTTTTTTTTTTTAAGATTTTATTTGACAGAGAGACACAGTGAGAGAGGGAACACAAGCAGGGGGGAGTGGGAGAGGGAAAAGCAGGCTTCCCACGGAGCACGGAGCCTGATGCAGGGCTCGATCCCAGTACCCTGAGATCATGACCTGAGCCTAAGGCAGCCGCTTAGTGACTGAGCACCCAAGCGCCCCGAAAATTACTATCTTTATTAGTCTAATTCATTTGGAAACAAAATAAAGCACAGCTGTTAAATTCAAAGCCAAAAAACAATCTCAATGCACGTGGACAGTTCTACATTCATTATTGAATTCATCCAAACTATGTATTGACAAAACCACCTCTTCCATCACTGATGAGGGTGAAAGTGAAGAGTTGAAAGACTTACAGAATAAACTGCTTTAGGAGAAATGAAATAGACTTGATTATTGCTTCACTAACAAGGCATTAGTATAAACACATAATACATTAAAAATTATCAAATCTAAATTCCAACAGATAATGCTTTTTTAACTGAAATGCATGAATTCAACTTTTTAATGATGCCCTTCATTGATACAGTAAGTTAGTCAGGATCTTAGTTTATGAAAACTCAGGAGAAATACTTGAGTGGACTTACAAAAGAAAACACTAAAAAATTCCATTTCCTCTAAAAACATACTTTTCATACTTAAACATTTTCTGAAATCAAGACAAAACTCACAACAGATACATATATTTATTCTAAGGGGATCTCCTTTTTCTTTAAAATGCAATCATTAACTAAGTGGTACATTTTACAGTTGGTGGTATCTTAGAACCAAGGACATGCATATTTTGTACAAATGTCAGAAACTTAGACCTAAATCATCTGTGTGTCTGAGGTAAAAATTTTCGGATTCGAGACTATTTAAAGCCAACCATCTTGAGCAATATTTATGCGTCCCAGAACCTTGAGATCAAATAGCTTCTGAGTCTAATCAATAAGAACTTAAGTCTCTTGAGTTGAAGTGCTAGTGCTCTCCCCACAATCCACTCTGTTTAAGCAACATTATAGTCCATTTCCAAAGGGCAAACAATAAAAATTCTTGCATATTTCTAACTAAAAATGTTTTAGGAAACTATCTTCCATGATTAATTACTGATGATTACAAAAATAGCAAGTTCACCTCTACATCAAAACATGGCTGAAAGACCACCGGCCTGCAGTTGGAAAGCTTAGATTCTCATCTTACTTTCACAATTAAATTAGCTGTGTGACCATGGGAAAAAGTATAGTTTATCTCCAAAGTCTCTTCCAGTGAAAATACTGACTCCTCAGACACAGGACTCATTCAGGTTACCAGATCTGAACACTTAATATCTATTTATACTTTCTTTTATTGAACTTTTTAAAAGTATTATTGGCTGAGGCATCTGGCTGGCTCAGTCAGTAGAGCGTGTGACTCTTGATCTCGGGGTCGTGAGTTCGAACTCCACGTTGAGTGGCGAGATCACTTAATAAAATCTTAAAAAAAAAAAAAAAAAGTGCTGTTGGCCGCAACCCATCGTGGGAAGAATTCTGACTGAATAACTTATAGAATTGCATCATCTTCATAGTCATAAGAATTTTTTTCTCCCAGTGATCCTAGTTAAGTCAGAAAGCAGGAAGAGGCCCCCTAAGAGAACAAACACTACCTCAGGTATCGCTCTTGCCTAAGAGAAAATTGGGACAGTGTTTAGCTTACATGTTCTTGCATATGTGCCGGGGTGGACAGCTCTGCAAATAGAGGGATTCGCCTTCTTTCAGTGGTCAATTCCTTGAGCAAGCTGCCAGTCTGTTAAAACATAAGGACCTGTGGAAGCTACAAAGCAGGACTTTTCCAGTGAAACGGGTTGTCTAAGCAGACCCTCAAAGCAAAGTAGTCATAGTTGTCCTACAATTTTGGTTCAAGTATCATTCACATAGGGAGCTTGCATAATTTAAGAAACATAGCACTTGCCTGGATATGTACACAGCGAGTTTCTTAACCATTCACATCAAGTTCCTATCTTTCAGATATAGTGAATATAGTTACAAGAAAATAGTTACAAGGGAATAGTTTTTTGAATTAAGGAAATTTAAATCTAGATAGTGTATATTCATTTTAAAATCTTACATCACATAAATAAAGCACTAAAAATGGAATTTTTCAACAAAAAGAAAGATTTTCATATAGAAAATATTTTAGCTTATATGTGGACTAAGTTAAAAAAATAAACCCACTGAGAGCTCTAGCACTGATCATTGACTTTTCTTCTTTCATAGTTAATCACTTCTATTTTGAACCAACTTGGGGTAAGTTCATATTAATTTTTAAGCTATTATAAACTACAAACCTATTTAATGGACTGATGAGTTTTTTTGGTTTTTTTTTTTTTTTTTAGGGTTTCATTGGGGTAAGACTTTATTTCTATGATTCTATTGATAAAAGCAAGTGACATTTAATCTCAGGAAAGGTAAGGATAATTCTCCTGAACCATAAAAACATATGGCAGAGTCAAACCCAACTGACTTACCCAAATTAGAGCTCCTTAGTATCAGGCCATCAAAGGCCAGATGGGAGAAGTTAAGCGCTTTGTTGCAGAAAACCCAGTTGAAGATAAAATTTATCAGCACTTCCGGTGTAACAGAACCACATTATTTTCTACCTCCCAGTACACATGATTATACCAATACTAATCCATCAGCAGTAAAATAACCATAGGATGGGAGACATGAGTGGAAGCAAAGAAGAAATTATGGCAAAAATACCTTCATATAGTAACTATAATCTGTATTGTTTATTTTGGCAGAAATAAATCTCTCACTACTATGTCAGAAGTTATATACGGTGAGTAAAATCCCCACATATCTTTCAAGCACTATTATACATTTTAAAAATATTTTTATCTTAGGAGTTTAATAGTCTCAGCTCATGTCCATATTGATAAATTAATAGTTCAATGAAAGTGTACTGATGAAAGCAGGTAATTAATTAACCTACTTAAATGCTTTCTTCAAAGGATGTATTTTTAAATCAGTTTATTAAAACTTCACAAATATGTTAGAGTATAATACCAACCACCATTTCTTATACTGTAAGAAAATAGAGCATTTAACCTCTAAAAGTGGTTAGAATTTTCAAGTGCCCTCTTTAGCTACCAAATATTTAGGTTTTAGATAATTATGGTCTTATTATGTAAGTTCAGCATATGCTTCCGTTTGAGTTTGAAATGCTTTCAAAAGCTTAAGAACACCTGCTAGCAAGAAAAATATTGGTTGCTGTCACTTAGCCTTAAGATATTACCAAATAAACTGTCTCTGAGCCAAAATTTCAATTTCAACAATGCTAGCTACATCACACGTGGCCCTAAAGTCAAGTCGTAAACTCTAACTATATCACTATGGATAATGTGGGTACTCCTTAAGTAATATATAATCTTCCAAACAGCATGCTTAAAGTAACAAATCGTAAAAGCTTCATCACCTTAGTAAGGAACACAATACAGAACAGATTTAGGAACAAGGCAGACCAGGATTCAAATCCCAGCTCTGGCCCTTTCTGAATTAACCTTGGGACAATCTTTCTAAATATCATTTTCATCTGTGAAATGGAAATAATACCACCTAACTTCATAGGATTGTTGTTGAGGATTGAGTGATATCATGTAGATACTCAGTAAATGGATGTTATTACTATTTTGCTAAATATCTCCTTTAGACAAAAGTATTCCAAGAGTATTCCTGATACCTAAAATATAAGAAAAGCAAATATGGAGGTAATATCACCTAGTAATATAGGAGCAGATATTCCTCCAGAAATGTCTTAAACTAAAATTTTAATCTGGTTTTTCTTATTATAGATGATGCTGGATATTTAAAACACTTATCAGAAGATTATCTACTTCTATCCTTCTATAGTTTATAGTAGTTTTATAATTCTGCATACTTTGTATATGTTCCAGAGAAAACTCCAAAATGCCATGAAGAATTTATTATCTATAGATCATGTGCTTTAGTCATTCTTTAAATAAAATGTATTATCTAATATCTTTTCTAATGTCAATGCAAATATTTCAACACTATTAGACATAAGTAAATGTTGACCTTCAGGGAATTGCTCAAACTTTCTCAAGAGCTTTAGTAAGCAGCTTCAATTTAAAGAATTCTATTCAGTGCCAGG